ATGTATTCCTTTTCTTTCGTACGTGTTTATTGATATATCTGTACTGTAGTGTTTTCGGACGGTACTAGCTCTTACTGCCAATATAGGAGTATTACATATATGGGTTTACGCTTTTCCTGGCAGCAATTGAAATACAACATTTTTTTTACTCAAATCAATGACATAATTTTATAACTTACAAAATATCTAAACAAGCGTTTCCATAACTATTAGATACAGAGTTAGATTATCTTCATTTTCGAGCTTAACTTCCTAATCTGTAATTAGAAAAAGAGATTAGCCATATAAAATTCCTCCCTTGTTAATCTGTAATTATAAAATAATCTCAGATTTAACCGATAACTTTTCGGTGTCCATCCTAGTTTTATCGATTGTTTTTGCGAAGAAGAGGAGAAATGGCAAATGTAAAAGTAAACAAAAATGGACGCTGGCAAGGAAAAGAGGGTTCTAAAGGTATTTTTTTTAATAAAATGTTAAGTTAAAATATATCTATATTGCTCAATATAGCAGAAAAACGTGATCACGGTGGCACAGAGAAAAAAAAAATAACTTTTCCTTGAGATGTGAGAATAACAAGCACAACAAATTTGACGGCTAATAATCTGAGATTTACCTGTGTGAACGGTGCGATTAAAAAACGAGCTTTGATTGAGGTAATATTGATATGTGAACATAGTTTTACACAAATCGACAGACATTAAACTTCCGCATCGCTTGTACTCCGCAAATTTCACATATCCTCGAATACCATACAATTTATTTGGTACTAAAAAAAAACTTTTATCTTCTGAATTTTTACAGCAACAAGGCGATTCCCGCCGAGCCAGATGCGACAGTGAGCGGAGCAACAGGCAACCCAGAAATACAGCAACAGAACGCAGCCGAATCTAAACAAGCAACCCCAAACTCAATCAAATCTGCAGCATACTCACAAAAATCAACCGCATCTGTGCATTCAGTTACACTCGACAATTTTAACGACAAGGCTTCACGAAATAGTGCCAGCGCAGACCAAGACGATACAACTGATAACAGCTCTACAGAATGTATGTAGCACTACAGAATGTATGTAGCGATAATGAATCCACCAGTCCATCTCCCACGAAATGGAGAAGCGACCCAGACGTCTTGCAGCTGGAAGATGTTCAGGACATAACCACTTCGAGAGTCACATTGAGTGGCAATAATACGCCGCTTCAGAAAAACGGCAGCTTGGCCAGTTTGCAAAGCAAAAGCGATAGCATTAAAACTCAGCTTGGCGATACGCCTACCGTGTTGTCACGAGCACAATCTGCAAAGTCGTTGTTGATTGAAAAAGACATAGAGGATGATAGCAGCTTTGTAGTTATGGATGAGCAGCATACTGAACGACATGAAAGTCATATTCACGGGCAAGCACTTGAGAAAAGTGCACACAGTAAAGATGGCACATCAAAGAGCGAATATGAATATACGCATGTCGCTGCAAAAATGGATGATGCCGCATGCCAATGCAATACCGTGCCATCACAATCGCAAACACCCAGCGGCTCACGTCCACAATCGCAAACACGTTCGCGATCACCTACAATAGCAGAGTTAAAAATTCTTTCGCGTCGCAATTCAATGATCAAATCCATGGAATCGCTATACGAGCATCCACCGTCGAAGCAAGAGCTGATTTACGACAACACCAGCACTGAATCAGGTTCTGCAGCAAGCTCTCAACTCAATACCACCATACGTATTAAACCACAGCATACTCCGCTAAAGCAAAAGGCGAAAACATCACACTTCTTGAAAAATCATCGTCGCATTTCGCCAGTAAAGCAAGCGGTAAAAATGCCACCAGCTGAGCTCTATCCACCAACACTGCAGCGCTTCGAAAAACCTCGTGATGCCTTGCTAAAGACTTTCGATCAGCTCGACTCGAGTAACTGGGAAATTATCATGCTGGGTCTTAAAACTATGGTGCGCATGATGCGTCATCACCCAGAGCATTTGGAAAATCAAATGCATATGGTTTGCATACAGCTGACACGATCGGTGCGTAATCTGCGCTCGCAAGTAGCGCGCGCCGCATGTCAGGCTGCCACCGAACTTTTCACGCTCAAATCGAAGTGTCTGGAGCAGGAATGCGATGATTTGGTATGTGGGCTGCTGCATCGTACTGCTGACACAAATCGATTTCTGCGTGCCGATGCGACACGTGCCCTGGTATCAATGTGTGATAATTTAACGCCAACAAAAGTACTTAACATACTCACCACAAAGGGTGCACTACATCAGAATGCATTGGTGCGTACGACTGCTGCTAAACTTTTGCATCGTCTTGTAGAGCGTCTGGGCAGTGATAAGGTGTACACGATGCAGCGTGAAAATCGTGATAAATTCTTTGTCACAAGCGCCAATTTACTGTTGGAGGGCAGCCTAGAAACGCGCAGCTACGCTAAGTCAATATTTCGACTGCTCTCCAATCATCCGAACTACAACCATCTAGTCATAGAAGTGATACCAACGCGTACATATCGGAATGTTGAGAAAACGTTGAAGAGTATACGTTAAATAATTACTGAATAAGAGCGTATATTAAAATTAGTTTTGAAGTAATATAACCAATTTGTACATACAAGTGTATTTAAATAGTTTTTTGACGATTTTTTGAAATCGAATTGCTAACTGGCACATTAGATTAATTGTGATTTGATGACAATTGTAATTACACGTTAATATTTTATTTACAGTTTTAGGTTTTTAGAATATACATACATATGTAAGTAATATACATGAATCAAGTATATAAGTTATCAATATGAATATCGCAATTTAAATTACATATATTTAAAATGTATAAGATAATCGTTTTAATGGATGCATGCAAATACATATTTATGTTTTAATAAAGATGAACTGTTATAAATGATACTCTTCGTTTTATATTCACCTCTTTACTTCTTATAGTCGTTCGTGGCGGTAAGTATAAAAGTTATTTAGTAAACCTATACAAATAAATAAATTTACGAACTAAATGACTATAATTACATTATTAAAGTTGATGTGCCATAAATTTCTTATTTTATTTGCTTTTATAATTAAAACTCTACAAGAGATAAAAGTTAATTTATAATCATGTATCAATTCAATTTCAAATTATACCAAATTTCTTAAATAATATTTTGAAAAGCCACTTATAATTAGGCCAAGGATCCAAATTATTTTGGTTGATGGAAGTTGTGTATGTATGTATATCAGCGAGCAATGAATGTCAACGTATACTGCCCCTACCTGTGATTATCATTAACAATATTTGTGGTATGTCTTTAATTTCCATCATTTGCAATGGCACCAACTTCTTTGCCGCCATCGGCTACCCTCTGTTATCTGCGCTGACGCTGACTTTCATCACGCTGCCGACGTTCATCACGTTTATAGGGATGTGAACGGGAGTGCGAGTTTGAATGTCTTGCGCCGCGGTCATTGTCAACTTCTCGTTCGCGTTCTCTGCCACCTCTGTCTCGACCTCTACCGCTGTTACCCTTTGTCCAGTCAGGTGCATTTGTCCGAAACGGGTTTGAAAATTGCGTTGAGGTATTGTTTTCGTTTAAACTTGGATCATAAAAACTTGGATAGCTCGTACTGCGTAACATATTATTATCACCTGGGCGGGGTGTGTATCGCTCGCAATCAGTGGCCAGTGAACGTCGTTTATTGGATGCATTCGGATCTTCTTGAAGCTTAATTGTTACCATTTTCCTGTAAAACGCTAACCCGGCAAATAACCTGATAGCATAAGGCGGAGTACAACGATGTGAATAAACAACGAATCCAAAACTACGTTGACGGCCACTATTGTCTTTTGGTATCCGTACCGCTTCGACTGGCCCTGCTTGCAGGAAAACCTCATAAAGTAGATCTTCGGTGACTCGATCATCCAAATTGCCAACAAAAAGCGTGCGTAACTGTTCATCATCCTCGTCGTCTGTGTCTGCAGCATTGTCTTCCATAGCATGTTGTGCTAAATGTGGCGGCCGCTGACTCAAGGAGTAGCTTGATGGTGCCGACATCGCATAAAGCATTTGATTTGCTATTTGTATTGCTGCTATCTGTTGCGCCTGCCACATTTTTGTAATATTACTGAAATAACTTGTCGATTTTACTGAGAGGAACAAAATCAAAGTAATTAAAAGGAATTTCCCCGACCAAACCAATGCGTTTTTTTTTTTTTTTTTGTGGGTTTAAGTTACTCTCGTTCCCCTCTTATTGGTAGGAGAGAATTATTTGGCCCGTTCTAAGAATTACAGCGCCATCACCAATTTTGCACTTGCAGTGCTTTCTTTTAAGGGTTTTTATACTATTAATAATTTATAGATGTTGAATGTAGTTTGTATGCATGAACCAACCATCATATATACTCATGATTCAATTATTAAAGGTTTTGTAAGTAGCTTTTTTCTAAAATTTGGCACTCCCACCCACAGGGATGGTTTTTGGAAGCAGAAGAAAAAGGGGAAGAATTCAATCACACTTCCTAAAATGGGAGCTAAATTCTATAAAAACGTGTGGATAATAGTGAATGGTGGTATTTTAAAACAAAAACGAATTTGATTTAATTATTTAATTTAAACAAGCTTAGTTACATCGAATATAACCCCCTATTGTTATTAAAAATAAATATTTCTATGTTTATACCAAACTTGCGTACGTCAGATGGCGCATAACTCGAGAATGGATGGTCCACTTTCAGCTTTTTTTTGTTGTATTTGTTTGCCAGTTGATGGACATGAAGAAGCTATTTGTTTGCGGAAAATATGCAATATTTATTAAACAAAAAAACGGCAAATAAAAAAATTTGGAGCTTACGTTTCTTTCGCGGTTATGGCTCGATTGTTTCGAATTCTTTGATGTCGCACTTTTTATGTTCTGGGGAAAATATTCAACACTGGCTTGCACAGCCGCAGTTGGCGATTGGTGCCGGACGAACTCAGAGCACGCAGCTACTGAACGACTGAGATAGGGAACGTGATCTACATCGTCAAATGAGAAGTGGCGTAATGGGGCTTTCGCACGAGGCGATTTTTCAGGCAACTTTTGCGTTCAACTCCCGCCGGGTTGCACGAAAAAAAATTTGAATGACTAAAAATATCAAAATATAAAAAAATATTAAAATATTCGCCATAAAAAGGCGTTTGTATTGTTCAATTTTGCATTCTACTTTCAGCTAATCGCTTTCAATAAAGTTGGTCGCCAGCCAACATTCGCCTCGTGCGTACACCTTTTAAGTGTGCAATTACATCGCGCCATTGACTAAACCGAGCTGTCGTGTGACGATTGGGCCTATGGATGCGGTTTGGCAATGTTATATTGCGTCAAAATCTCATTCGGAGACACCAGGATTGTGTCGTGGAGTACAATACCTAAATACCTTCGTTGGCTCATTGAACGCTTTACTTTACAGCGACTTGGCAGAATCAAGAGGTCTCCACGAATATCGACAAATACATTTCGGCATTTAAGGGAATTTCGTTTCTTAACATTGAATTTCTGTAGTCCAACGATTCTCACCCATTTTGTCTTGTTGGCGCCAGCGAATGCAGAACAAACATTTCTTCAAATTTAAAAAGTAAAAATTTCACTACTAACAATTTAAAAATGTTCTTAAAACTTGCAAAGAAATTTGGAAAAGAAATATCACTGTTTTTGTTTTTAGGAGTAGGGTGGGAGTGTCATTGATAAAATTAGAGCGAGAGAAAGTTTTTCTTACAAAACCTTTCATTATTGAATCATGCTTACAAGTATGGAATCCTATGCCCCTTTTTGTCTATTCTCTTTCTAACAACGGACGTGCCTGCCAAACAGCGGACGTGCCTGCCAAACTGAAAAGCATGATGGCGGCAGTGTTTGACAGGCACGTTCGACGATGCCAACGGCAATGTAAGGTAAGAAATGGAAGATGGATGACATGAGAATGAAATAATTATGAAATAGCAGAATGTCGAAGCAAAAACGAATTTGAGAAATGTGACAATGCGAATGACGTTAAATGAAAGAAATGTAAAATAGCGAAATGTCGAAATAGAAGAAATAGATGACAGCCTCGTATTCAAGGGTTTCGTGAAACAAAAAGTGTTGCTGTGTTGCGCCATAAAATATTTAAATACTTTTTTAATGTGGTTAAATTGAATCATACGCTTTTTTAATTAGTTGGCAAAAGTACATATTTCACCAGCCAAAATATATATATGTACCTATGTATGTATATAGCGCGACGCTACAAGATTCATTTATAAAAACGGTATATGCTAATGACGTTATTCATAAAAAATAAAATAGATTTAAATAGCTCTGTACAGTGACATTTTTATAAAAAAATCGATTTCTTAATTTTTTATGAATTTGGGTAAAATATTTAAATTCATTTTTTTCCTATTTATTACTTTTAAAAATTTTATTTTCTTTAATAACCGTTTCACTGAGTTATACCACCCATCAAAAATCAAACTATTTTATAAGAAATGTATTGACCTTTTTACAACGGCATTTAAAGAATTTTTTGCTCAGATTGAAAAATTGCCTGCTTCTCACACTTCTGTGGTGCTTTTTATTGTAGTTATTATTCTGTTGACATCTAAATTTCCCTACATAGATTTTATGTGATTGCCGATAGATTGATTACCGGCATTTCCTCTGTGAACTTTTTTTAACTACATTCATAAAAAAATTACTAATTTTGGTTTCTTTTTTCATCTTGAACTGGTACATATGTTTGTATGTAAAATGCATTTTAAAACCCCTACTTTGAATTTGTCGATTTTGATAATTCTGATCTAAAAGTTAACGACGTATCAGAAACTTTAAATGTACTGAAATTCACTTATACTTCCAGAAAAATCACCGCTTTTTCACATTTTCCTTATTAATTGTCATTGTAACTCATATATTTTTAGAATTCAGCGCAATTAAAACACGCTTACTATCGAAAAATTTATTATTGAGAAAATTGGCTGGTCTGATATTTTCTTTTAACATGCAATTCGGCTTTGTTTACTTTTTGTACAGAAATGTCATCGCCACTATGACGGGGCAATCTTGTACTCTTTCTTGTCAAATATGCATTTTGATGTAACTGCTATGAAGCTATGAATACTCATTAAAATCGTTTCAGTTCGTAATAAACGTACATTACATACTTGTAGTCTAAATCATGATAAAAAAATAGCAAGGTATAACCGTTCTCTCAATTTGTCGGCCATGATTTTTTTTTGAAGTTTGAAAACATTTTAAAATCATATAAATATGAAAATAAAAAAATGAAATTGTTCGAAATTGTTGTTGCTTGAGATTGAAAATGAAAATGTGTGTGTGAGTTTGTGAGTAAATTTAAAAATTAAATTGTTTGGAAACGTCAAGAATTTTAAAAGTGACTCTCAGCGGTTCTACCTTACTATATTTTTATCATGGTCTAAATATATTTTTTAATATGAACTAGCTTTTTTAATTCTAGAAAATATCAATAATCACAAGAATTATAAAAATTTCTCTTCAAAAGATACGTTTCAAAGCATCCCTGTTGATGTCATAATTCAAATAAAAATTTGAATAGAAATTTTGATGCAAACGATTTTCCTCGATATTCATCATACAAATTTCTTTATTCTTTATTTTCTTCCACTCATTACTTTAAATGGCTTTCATCTTTTTATTTTTGTAAAAAATAATATAAACATGTTGCTCTTGCCAGCTGCAATAGCTTCAATACACTAACAAAAGTGTGAATACCCAGTGCCCAGCTTAGAACAAGAATCCTAGCATTTTGCCTCCCAAATGTTACCGTCTGGCCTCCTCAAGATCCATAATGCCTCCGGAGTTAGTCAACACAACGTAACCAAATTGACGAGAAGGCAGCAAGTTGTTGGTCCACTTCCAACCATTTCAACCAATTTATGCGATTTAATGGGCCTCATGCATAAAAAATGAGTCTAAGGTCAGACTCAATTTTTGCACTAAAGGGGTGAGCTTAAGCTCAAGAATTTGTACTGATAATCGAGTTGGAGCTTAAACTCACATTTAATGCATGAGGTCCAATATCTTTACTGCTACCTTGTGTTGCGTCCAGTAAATAGTGGCCAATTTTTACGAGTGCCTGTGGGCCTCTGCCAGTAGCTGCAGCTGCGGCGGCACGTGATTGTGGCATAACGTTGATGTAAGCGTAAAATAAAAAAAGGTTTGGTAAGGTTTTTCGGGCCGCTGCTTAGGCCACAATCGCAAATGCACCCACACATGCGTACGTGCTGCGTAGAGACGTAAATTATAGTTTTCCCCGAGCTCCAGTTTCTTATCGCTCTATTATTTCCCTTATTACTTATAATTCTCTGCCACGATTTGCGCTGCTCGGGCCACGGCTCCTTGTACAAGAAAATAAACTATTTGTTTAAACGATGATCATCTTACTTATCCGTATGTCGCTCTGGAAAGAAATATATATTAAATTATATGTTTTCTTAAAAATAAATGCAAATTTACCTAATTTTTCCACCGGCAGGCACGAATATGATGTTCAAAACAAAAGCAATGACAACGAATTTCACACACATTGATGTATTTTAGCGCAAAACGATAAGTTTCACAAATATTTTAAATTATTGCCTGGAACATACACATTTATCGTTATTATTGGAAATGCAAGACTTGGCACGCATTTTTAATTTATTTTTTATTGAATTCAAATGAATAAAAACACATTTTTCTAAAATATTTCTCAATTTACATTTTAAAGTTTTTTCTGAAACTTGAATGTAACTCTGTGCGAAGAATGAGAGAATTGAAAATCAGGTGATCTCAGCTGTTTTCAAATGTAAACAAACAAAATGGCGCTTTCCATACTTGTAAGCATTGTATACCCTACAAGAACACTACGCGTTATATAACCAATCATGTAACGCAGAGCTGTAACGTAAATGCATGTTATACTCCCATAGAATGTTTACGTTAATTTCCTAAGGGCGATATGAAAAATCTAACAGGATGTTTCCTGTACGTGTGATTTCTCGTCTCTTTCTAACGCAGGTATAACCAAATTATGTGAAGCGTATACCTGTGCTCTTTACTCCCATTATAAATGTTGAAGAAACATGTTATGTATAACAAGTTAAGCGTAACGTATGGAAATATTATGTGTAACGAGTTAGGCATAACGTGGAAGCTTGTTATGAGTGACTAGTTAAGCCTAACGTAAGGAAACGTTATTTGTAACTAGTGAAGCCTAACGAAATAAAATGTTATGTGTAACGAGTTAGGTATAACGTGAAAGAATGTTATGTGTGACTAGTTAAGCATAACGTAAAGAAACGTTATTTGTAACTATTGAAGCCTAACGAAAGAAAATGTTATGCATAA